ATCCCAGGCCTGGGATGGGGTGCGTGGGGGGTGGAGGTCTCCATGTTCAACTGGGGCAGCTACATTTTCTGATTTATAGAGAAGATACGGTTAGGATTAAGGTTTTATAACTTGAAATGTTGGGGAAAAAATCTGTTATAGGCAATAGAGACCAAAGGAAAAAAAACTTTTTTTTTTTTTTAAAGATTTTATTTATTTATTTGACAGAAAGAGATCACAAGTAGGCAGAGAGGCAGGCGGCTTCGGGCTAAGCAGAGAGCCCGATGTGGGGCTTGATCTCAGGACCTGGGATCATGACCTGAGCCGAAGGCAGAAGCTTTAACCCACTGAGCAGCCACCCAGGCACCCCAAGACCAAAGAAAATTTTAAAGCAGGGAATGAATGTGAGCCAGTCTGTGTTTGGAAAGACCGTGCTGGCCATCAGGGCTCAAGGAGGACAACCAGTCAGGAGGATGGGACAAGTCTCACCTGTGGGTTTGTTCTGTCCAGTAGAGCTTTGTGCGGCAATGGGAATGTTTTCTGTTGTTGCCATCTGATAAGAAGACAGTAGCCACACGTGCCTGTTGCACACTTGAAATGGGGCTAGGGTGATGGAGGAACTGGATTTGTCCTTTTACTCCATTTTGAGTCATTTAAGTTTAGATAGCTGTACGTGGCTAACGGCTACCACATTGGACAAATAAGTCTAAATCAGTGCTGTCTAGTCTCCTGAGAGGAATGTGACCCTGTCCGCACCTTGAATTTAGTGCAGTGAGATCTGTGTCAGACTTCAGACCTGTGGAGCCAAAAGATAGCAAATATATGGCATTTTAAGCCACTGTTTGACAGTTTGTCATGGCAGCGAGTTCAAATGGTATTATTAAAGGGATTTTTGAACAAACATTATTTAAGGCTAAGAGTCACCACCTAAAAAAGTCATGTTCCTTGTTTTGTTTTGTTTTCATTTTGAAAGCTTATTCTTGCTCTGATATCTAATCTATGGTTATTAAACAAAATTTGGAGAAAACACAGGACATTATAAAAAGGAAGAAAACAGGTGTCCATGTCTCACTTTCCAGCGGCAGATACTAACACAATTTGGATATATTCCCTCCTGGTTTTTCAGGTATATTTTAATGGTGGAGATAATAACAAGCTCAGAGTTATTAAATGATTAGTGCGCGCCAGGCCCTGTACTGTATGCTTTATTAATACCAACTCATTTAATCCTCATTCAAATCTATAAGATAAGTAGTCTTCCCATTGCACAGATAAAGCAACTGAGGCAAGAAGATACATTGCTTGAATATCTATTCTAGGACATGGCAGGGGAGTCTGTCTGTCTCAGGCACGAAGTTTCTCAGCATGGCTCAATCCTGTGCTATACTGCTTACATTCTGCATGTATTATTTTTAAGCTTAATTTTTTCACTTTTCTCTTTAAAATAAAGATTTTCTCATGTTATTAATGTCTCCTCAGTGCAAATGTGGGGAACACAAGTATCTACCTTTTGGAGCCACATTGATGCCAGAGCAATTGTAAGGAGCTCCTTTATCATTAAAAAGAAGCGTATTGGAATAGAAGTGCTTTTCCTTGAGAGTGAAATTAGCATGATGTTGTATTATGAAAAGAGGCAAGAGGTGAGGGCAAGTGCCAGATAAATTTGTGAAGACATTTACTTGGAACCTGAGATTTTCCTTTAAAATAATGCGATATATTTAAATTTTCTTTTAAAATAATGTGATACATTATTGCATCTTCAGCAGCGCCCCTCTTCCCACATGCCTGTTTTTCATGTAATATAATGGAATGACTGAATGTTGTCAGTACATTGAGGCTTATCCTGAAAGCTTGTATATGAGAGAAAGAAAATGTCCCTCAGTGCATACAACTGCAAGGTTAGTATAAAATTGATCAGACCAGAGATACGCGAAGCTAGCTTGCTTTAAAAAGCCATATAGGGCCCAGGCCTATAAGATGTTAACCAAAAGAGAAAGACAGAAGATGGAAGGGTCTTAGTCCTGAAAGAACTAAGAAAGGAGTGCCTCTAGCAGCCACCGGGCGGAGTCCAAGGTGGTTCTGTGCTTGGTCGGGGAGCTTAGCTAATGAACGCTGAGGAGGCTGCCCCCTTGGGAAGAGAGATGCTTCAGGTTAGTTTCTGTGATCCGGTTAACATCAGCTACGTCTCTTGGGGGTTTTGGGGGAGACAGGTGGGAGGGGGTTTGGGGTCTTTTTGCATATTCAAAAAAATTTTTTTTGACTGTGGTAGTCACCATACAGTACCTCATTAGTTTTTGATGTAGTGTTCCATGATTCATTGTTTGCATATAACACCCAGTGCTATAAAATTTGGCTTCTGATATAAGTCCGCCTGTAGGTAGAGGCTTCTGTGGTCGTGCCTCACAAGTGTTCTCGCCCTGCCATGATTCCATTTATCTATGTCAATTAAAAAACGTAGGTGTTGCAGTTCTAGAAATGTTTCCTGAGTTTGTTTGATTAAGTCAGTTATGCCCCTTAGCTATGGATCCATTCTGGGCAAGCTGACAACAATCAGATCTTTGAAAGAGCCCATGAAGCTAATGGTCAGTTCCTGAACCAGAGACAGACCAGGGAGCGTAGCTCTCCCGCTTGCTTCACCTCCTTTGACATGATCATTGGCCAAGCAATGCCAGTGTGTATTTTTAAAAATACAATAGGAAAAATAAAGTTGTGATCTCAGTAATTACTACCACAGGATGGTAAGGTCAAATAAGAACAGTTTAATTAGAGAAAAATGTAGGTGCTGCTTCTGCTAATAATGACAAATAACATTAATTGGGACTTAAAAATATATCAAGCATTGCATTATGCACTTTAAACGAATCCTTTCATTTAATCCTGGCAACTGAGTGAGGAAGGCACATTATTATGTACAATTTACCATTGAGGAAATTGAGGGCTCTGGAGGTCAGATGCCTCACCCAGCCATCTGGTGAACTTAGAGCCAGGATGGTGGTCCAAACAGTACGAGTCTTTGGCCACACTCTTAACCGTAATGCTACGTGAAGGAGCTGAGCAGAGGCTCAGGGGAGATGCTAAGGAGGACCTGTGTTTCAGCTTCAGGAGTCCACGCCTCTGGTTCACAGTTCCACTTGCTTCTTTTTGATCCAAGCATATCGTTACCTTTTCATACTGACCAGTCAGGGTTTGGCTCCACTCTTGGCTCACCACTGAAACAGGAGAGGAGAGAATCTTCTAAGAAAACTAGATACGCATTGGAAGGGGCTGGGGCACAGTGATGAGGAAGAGGTCAAAGATGATAAATGTGTATGGAAAAGATTGTCAGATAAAAAGAATTAAGCTGTGAACATTGACAGAAGAAAGGAGGGAAGGCCGGTTTGATGTCCAATCATCATCTTTTTGAGGGAGGAAGAAAAGAGTGAATCAGATACCAGTTACTAGAAGAATCTTTGTTTCTGTCTGGAGAGGAGGTGAGGGGTAAGGGAAGCATACTCAGCTGGACATCAGTCTCCGTGTTCCCTGGTTTGTAACTGGAAGTCCTTGCTATTGCCTTTGAGCTCTGGAACTGTTTTATTGCTTTTATAAACTACTAGCTATCTTCTTTTAGGGAGAAATAACAGATGGTCATGCTGCAACTGAGCTTTTTATCTGAATCTTCAAAACCTTTTTGTGCACAATTTATGAGGTTCAGTTCTTTGCAAATTCAGTGCTTTCTTGTAGCTTTTCCTTTTGAGATGAGCCACAAGAGCCTCATTTTCACTGGGCATTGCCTATTAGTGGCAAAACTCCTTTCTTATTTAATCAGCTTCTCCAAAGGAATAAGGCTGAGTCCAGATACGTTCTATTTATGAGGGTGAAGAGATTTTGGCGGTCTGACTAAAAATAACACACGGAATCTGCCACCTGGGTCTCCCTTCCATATTCATCTTGTATTTTTATGCATGTTGCTCATAGAGTTCAAACGAATAGGTCAGCCCCTGTGAGCATGGAAGAAATTTGACTGGGTCAAGTGTTTGTGGCTTGGCACCAGCCCTGCTGCCATGCTGGTCTCTGGTTGCGTGTTTGTTTGGTGAGGCTGGTCTAACCCTGAATTCTGACCCTCTTGGACTCAAGGTACAGAGGATTCTTCCACTCAGTCTCTACTGAGTGGGGTGGGGGGGCAAGGTAAGCTAGAATGGCCTATGGAAAAAACCTTAGGAAATGAGAGATTTTTTCATAATTACTAAAAATCTGCAAGATAGTTGGATACACACTAGACTCAGAAAACAAACAACCAAACCAAACCCAGAATTAAGCACAGTCATATTTCATTTTGTTCTACAGGCTTATTTCCCCAATCACTTGGAATTAATACTGTTCTGATTTATTATCCAAATCCCCGAGTCCACCAGAGGTACACTGAGCTGGCTTCGGTGCAGCTTTGCACACTGCTGAGACTTCAGCACGCCAGCGTGGTGGAGGGGTCAGGAGCACAGGCTCTGGAGTCCGAGTCTGCCCCTAAATCCAGAGTCTGCTACTCACGAGCCACATGAATTTTGGCTAATGATTAAGATTCTTTAAGCCCTTCAGTTTCCCTCTACTGCAAAAGAGAAATAACTATTTTTCAGGGTGCTTATGAAGTTGAAATCCTATACATATGCATATATATACCCACCTCTATGAATGTATATTGCATAATATACACTATATGTATGTATGTGTAAAGTGCTGGCGTATAGAACATGTACAGTAAGTGACATCTGTATTGGTCTTCAGTTGCAGACCTTGCCCCTTTGTTGTCTTTGGGAAGGAAGAAATACTAGTCTTGGTGTTATTTGCTGTTTGCTTTAATTATATTGGCTTAAGGGAGAAGGCTAAATCTTTGGTTTAAATCCCTTCCACCCCCGAAATTCTGTATACCGTATTTCTTTTCTGGAGATTCATGAAGGCTCTGAAAAGTCCTGCAATAAAGAAACCTATTAAAAATTTTATATGCTGAATAGTCACAAAACTTACTTGATTGCTAAATCCATTTTTTCCAGTTAAACCTATTAATATCCTGTGGATTTACTATTCTGCAAACACACTTCAGGAGATTCTGATCAGGTAGGTAACCATAGTCTTGAATGTCGAAATGTGTATTTAAATCCTTGTTCTGCACTTCCTGGCTCTATGCCTCTGGCAAAGCACTGAACTTGGCTATGTCCCACTATTCGTTAAGACTTAGATATTATCAAGCCCAGGACCATCAGATAACTGGGTAAAAAACAAATGCTCATAATGGCTGCCATGCAGAGCAGGACTAAAACCAGGCAACAGGAAAAGCCAATTACTTATCCTGTCTTCATTTAAAATGAAGTTCTTTACTTGCCTCACACTATTCTTGGCCCTGCTTATAATGCTCTGGCCATATTAATAATAATATGTATACTATACTTTACTTGATGTGTCTCCACAAGTAGACTGAAAGCTCCTGGTGGGTCAGGACCTTCCACAGTAATCCTTACGTGTGCGGTACTCAGCCCACTACTGGCACAAAGTTAGTGCTTTCCAATAAATGCATCTTGGACTGGAATGTGCTTTCTCTAGAGATCCGCTTCTTTACTGCCTTCATGTTTCTGCTTACATATCATAAAGAGGGAGGCCTTTCCTATAAAATGGTGTCACCCTTACCACCACCACTCAATATTTATCCCTGTGTTGGGTAGTTTTTCTTCCTGGCACTTAGCATGATCTGACGTCTTTACTGTGCATCTCTCTTGACTTACACCTTGGTTGAGCAGAGTCTCGGTCTCTTGTTTCATTGCTGCATTTCCAGGGCCCAGCATGGTGCCAGGTACATAATATTGGCTAAATAAATAAATTATTTGATGAATAAATATATTATTTTTTCTTTGTTGCCACTTTGGGCAAATGGCAAAAATGCAGCATACCATATCCACCAATATGATTAAGTAAGAAGGTGTATGTGTTGGCACTTAATACTCTGCTTTACTCATCGGTGGTGCTGCATAGATGTTTGTTAAAGAAATCTGAATCTCGCTGAATATGAATGGAAAAAATGGTAACTCATGTGAGGGTTTTCTGGGTCTAATGCTAACTTCTGTGCCAGAGTTTTCTAATACCAAGAATCGAATGCTAGATGGTGTGGGGTCATTTACTGAGTGGTGCTTTCACAGGCAAAATATTAATGAAGCAACAGCCTTACTTTTTTTTTTTTTAACAGACTGCATATTCAATCAGAGACTGAGATAAATTTTTTTTTTTTAATATTCTGGTTCTACATATTATAGAAGAATCAAGGGAACACCTAGGGTATTAGAGTCCCAGTGTCTGGGTTTGAATTCTGATCCTGACCTTTACTGATGGGGGTAATTTCAGACAAGTCACTTACCCTCTTTTTGAGCTTTTGCTTCTTTGTAGAAGATTATTGTAGATAGATATATCTCAGATCTGATAAAAGAATCTCTTGTGCTCATTTTATAAAATAGTAAAAGGTGTTCTTTTTACTGCTGTTACTACCACCGTTGTTGCTGCCAATACCACCACTAATATCAAGTAACATCTCCCGGGAATTTCTAAGCCAAGCTGTAAGGAAAAAAAGGCTACCACTATCTATTTCTCATAAACTTTTAGCAGATTTCAAAGTCCAAAGGGAATCGGGAACCTGGACAAATTGCATGAAATGATTATATGCAGTGATAGAACCCAGAAGTTTCTATCACCATCAGTAAGCTGTGTGTTGGGTCATGTAACTCTGATCTCCACATCCCCTTATACTTCTCTTGCCACCTCCAGGAGGTTCCGCCACGGGCTGACAAATCATTAGGACAGTGTCCCTTAGTGAACAAGAACTTGTACATGAAGAAATGGAGATGATGCACATCATTGGTGTGTTAATAGGCCATTGTGGTTTCCTGTCATTGTGTTTCTCAGAAGGTAAGCAACAGTTTACATCAGTCAGTCTCAGTCTCTTGAGCTGAGACTGTGGCAAGAAAGAGTATTGTAGAGGTGTGACCTTAGTGCTCCTTGGGCAGGGGAGTCCATCAGATGTTGGGACCCTGGCCACAAGTCCAAGGAGTTGCTCCTAAAGGTGAATTGGGAATGTTTAAGGTTATTTAAATATTATACTGCAAGAAAGGTGTGTTTATGCTGTGTTTTTCTGAGGACTGGAAAAGAGCTAGTGGCTTCCCTTAGGTGTCCTTCCTTACCCAACTCCCTTTCTTTTACTATTTCTTCATTTCTTTTTGGAGATATTACGGCAAAGTGTGTGTGTGTGTGTGTGTGTGTGTGTGTGTGTGTGTTCTCAATAGCACTGGAAAGAAAAGATAGCCCTCCTTAAAATAGAATTACTGGGAACATATCTCCTTAAAAGAAGCTGAGATAACAGATTTCATTAACACTGTGCTTTAATGGAATTGAAGGGAACTCTATCATTAAGATGTGTTTGCAGAAGGTAAGTAGAAAGTGATTTTAATTATTCAATGTTTCTAAATATATCCACCTACTCCTCCCCAACCAAGTAATGCACATCTGTAGTTCCAGGAGAAACTAAATAGTATCATTGAAGGGTGACTGGAGATAGCCAAACTGACCACGATGCAGCAGAACCTCTTCCTAATTTACCAATGCAGAAACAAACAGAATTTTCTACGTATTTAGTAGAATTATAATTGCTTCTCAGCCTTTTGGCTAAGATCAAGTATAGTGGAATTATATTTTGAAATATAACTATGCTTCATACTCCTGCTGAATTTGCCTTGTTTCCTTTCAGGCTGTAGTGAAGTTTTTTTGTTTTTGTTTTTAAAGATTTTACATATTTATTTGACACAGAGAGGTGACAAATAGGCAAATAGGCAGAGAGAGAGGGGGAAGCAGGTCCCCCACGGAGCAAGGAGCCTGATGCAGGGCTCGATCCTAGGACCCTGAAATCATGACCTGAGCCAAAAGCAGAGGCTTAACCCACTAAGCCACCCAGACGCCCCTCAAGCAGTAGTGAAGTTCTTGTGTTCCGTCTTGTAGGGTTGGTTTGCTACAATATGCAAAACGATAGAATAGCAGTGTTCCAGTTTGGGGTTTCGTATTTGAATTTTCAATCGTGAGTCACAGGTATACCACTAAACAGTCTTGGGGACTTTGCATTTTGGGTATCCTGCTTTCCAGAAAATCAAGCCCAGGAGGTAGGAGCTCTTACAGAGAAGCCAGGGCCAGCATGGTTTGGGGCAATAGGTTAGAAGAGCTGTAGGAGGTGCCTTGGTGGTTCTGGGCAGGCTCAGAGTGTTCCTGATCCATCACAGTATGGATGGAGTGCAGGGCAGCGGAACGTTTGCCTTAGTGGCCTGCAGTGGGTGCAGGTGGGGGTCCAAGAGCTTGGAGCTGGAGAAGCTTCACAGCTGGAACAAGAAAGATGATGGTAGACATCATGTAGGAATATACATATCTTAGCAGACGGATGGCTGTAGCATCATCTTGGGAATTAGATCTCCTTTTAAAAAAAAAATGCCCTCAGGGCATCTCAGAGTCTCAGTTGGTTAAGGGTCTGGCTCTTGATTTCAGCTTAGGTCTTGATCTTAATGTCATGAATTCAAGCCCTGTATTGGGCTCCATGTTGGGTGTGGAGCCTATTTAAAAAAATAAACTAATTAAAAAGAATAAAAATTTAAAAAGATCTTCATCACATGAATGTGTGAGAATTGTAACATTATTTCAGAAATAATGGAAGATGATTAGGTAAGTTAATATGGTAGAACCTTCAGTGCTTAGCATGAGATTTTGACTTGATACATATAGCAAATAGGAATGATTAAAGCTTTTCTGGAAGGGAATGGGCAAGGCAAAAACACTGTGTTGGAAGAATGCAGAAAACTGAGGTGGAACAAAGACATTTAGATATTTAAGGGTAAGGTCTGGGTCTTTACTCATTTTTTTTTTTTTAAAGATTTTATTTATTCATTTGTTCAGAGCACAAGGAGGGGAGGGAGGGCCAGGCAGGGGGAGAGGGAGAAGCAGGTCCCCTGCAGAGCAGGGAGCCTGACTCAGGGGACTTGATCCCAGGACTCTGGGATCACGACCTAAACCCCTATGCTTCCAGGTACAAAGTCTGAAGCACAGTGCTCAGTAAATGTTTGTTGGATGAGAAAAAGAGAATAGCTCTCTTTTCTAATGGAAATCCAAGTGGATTCTGGCAGTTTAGGGTAGATATGAGGAAGGTGTTGGGTTTTTCGTTTTTGGCGGGATATCATTACCCCTTGAAATAGAAACTGCAGGACAATGTGCAGCATCTTGAGAGGTCTCTGTGGTTTAGGCTTGTTCTAGCCTCAGTGTCAGAGCTAACTTTGCCCACCTTTCAGCACTTACGTGTATTTGACTTAGCTCTGCTTGTGTAGGTGAAGAGTGCTAAAAACCCACCACTAGCCATGGAAAGGCAGGGAGGAAAGTGAATGCCTGTTGCTAAGGGAAAAGAGCCTGTCTACTTCTGCTGTGTAATTCCAGCAACATGACGCCATGGAAAAGGCACATCTATAAAGACTGTAACCAAAAAAAATCAAGGTTTGGGGGAAGGAAGGAGGGTTAAATATTTGGGGCACAGGATTTTGAGGGCACTCAAATTATCTATATAACACCACGGTGGTGCTCTGTGATGATCCCTATTTGTCAAAACCCATAGAACTGTACAGCACAGAGTGAACTCCAATGTACGCTATAGACTTCATTTAATAATATGTCAATTGGCTCATCAGCTTTAACAAATGTATTACATTAATGTAAGATATTAATAATAGGGAAAGCTGGGAGGGAGCAGAGGAGGTATAGGAGAATTCTCTGTACTTTCTGGTCAATTTTTCCATAAACCTAAGACTGCTCAAAAAAATGGTCAGTTAGTAGTTTTTTAAAACCCTGTACATCATCAAGACCTAGAGAAATGAGGATTCTTTTAATTTGGGGGAGCATTTTTTACTTTACTAAAATGTCAGAACTGGTATACCTCTCTTTCTTTCCTGGTTGGAAAGGACTGGGAGGAATTGGGCAAAGAACCATTATTCTCCTCTATCAAACAAAAATAAAAGTGAATTGTAGCAATCAGTTCCTTTCTGCATACTCCAAACTGAAAGATGCAGGAGAAAAAAAAGATCCTTCTTTGACTTTTCTCCCTGGCAATTGATGGCTTATGTTCTTGGCAGTTAAAAGCAGCAGACATGTGAGCAGGCATATGGAAATCAAAGGGCAGAATGTGGTTGAGTCCAGTCCTCATTCAACATGTTACAAAAAGCCGGGTCCAGTATTCAAAAGGCAATGGCAGATCCCTTCCCCATAACTTTGACTGTACCTCCTACTCCAGCATTTCCCCGGGGTTTGTTTCAGGTTACCCTCATTTCTGGGCACACGTTGGCTCTCTTGATGTCACCCTAGCCTGTATTAGGATGCCAAATGGTATTTCCAGTTTGTATTTAATTCTTATCCAGCTATTAAAGCGGACCTAGCCTTCTGTTGAATTTTTTTAACTTTGTTGGAAATTGAGCAGATGGATTTGAATTCCTAATTTTCTTGAAAAATGTGCCAAGCACTTGTTCCTTTGTTCCTTATTTTCCCCTTGACCAATTCCTTGTGGCTTTGCATTTTTCCTCTTTAAAGACATCCCGCTGATTAGTCTTGTCTCTCTGTGTTTGAGGCATTTCACTGGTTCTCTACAGTCCACAAGTTCTCTACAGTCCACTTCCCTTCTGTCTTGATATGTTAGCCACCTAGTTTCATATACCTAGTGTATATTTCCACTGAAATATTACCACTGAAGCCACTGAAAAATCATACTAAAATGCTAAAATAGAATTCTTGATTCTTGTGATTGCTTAAGAAAAGGAAAGAAAAAAACATTCATTTACTGTTTTTCATTGAGTACTGTGAACCAGTTAATTTACAAATTGTTCTTTAAGATAAATGATCTTTGTTTAATCTCCATGAATGCCCCCCACCCACCCCTTCCTCAAGGCTTATAGTCCCTTTTTGCAGAATAGGGTAGTTGTGATTACAGAAATGGATTTGCCCAAGATCAGATGGCTGGTAAGCAGTCGAGTCAGGAGGCAAATTCAGATTTATTTTACTCTATTGTCTGTCTTTCTTTTCATTAAAAGAGCATTGCCTTTGTAGTCTGAAAGATAAAGATTTGAGTTTTTCTTTTGGGGAGTGGGGACATGCAAGACAGTTACATAAGTGACTTAAAGCCTGGTTTCTTTGTCTGTAAAATGGGAATGGGATGAACTTATTTTCAGTATTCCTCTGAGAATTCAAAGAGATAATGAAAGCAAGTTCCTTGCATCGAGCCAGTGTGCAGTAATTTGCAGACTGTCAATTTTTTTTATATTAAAGCTATTATTTTTTATCGATGGTATCATTCACCTTGGGACAGAAAAGTGAACCGTGCAAAGTTGAGACCTATAAATTATGTGTGACTAGACCTGTGCCCTTGACCACACCATAAGAGCCCAATGACTGAAGCCAGCTCTTAACGTGTCGTCCTTTACTGACGTCTGCAATCCCATTCCGCGGTCCAGAAAGTTATTTGTAGACCTGACTGTTTTGCTCCCTTTTCTTAAAGGCTATGTATTTCTGGTGTGCAGCTACCTATGCAATTGAATGCCAGACCTTCTTCCGTCAACGCACCTGTCTGAAACCTTCCTGCTAGACTGAGGTGATCTATTTTCCATCCTTGGTGAGACTCTTTCTGAATGAAAGGTCGGACGTCCACATCTGTAGCTCCTGCTCTCCTTCGCGGCTGCCTGTACAAATAACAGCACTCCATTGCTTTGTTTTGCCATCTTCCTCCTTCCTCTCTTGCTGCCCCTCAGATTTTAAAGCCTTACCTTGGCCGGGTGCTTAACTGGTCTTTGCCACAGGTTTTAGAACTTGACGTGCAGTCCCCAGATTATCAAAATGGA